CCCCAAAACCCCAAAACCCCAAAACCCCAAATTATATATTCACTTTTCGTATGTATAAATTTAATGTCTTTTATTCATTATAAAGTATATTTATATCAATACTTCTCTCTTCAGATTATTTGATTCTGAATTGCTAAAGATCATTCAGGGATCTAGGCATTCTCGAGTAGAGCTAATGCATCTTTCATATCCCTGCTAAATTACAGGAACTTATCTCTATTCATTCCAAACTTAACATACTTTTACTTCTTCTCTCGATTGTGAGGGAACTCTGTGATATCGAGACCAACAGTAACTATTGTATCTAAGGCCTCTAATTCTCCTGTTTAGAGATTCTAAGCTTAGCCACTGCTGCTATTGGCAAACAAATAACTTAGTTTGTAGTTCATGCCATCTATTTGAGAAACTTTAAAACTCTAAGCCTTTAGTGATTTCTGAAGAGCATCCATATTCTCAACATAAGTCTTTACAAGCACTTGAGCATTCTCAATTGCAATACCGATTTGTAAAAGATCTTTCATTAGCACCTGCTCAGTTGCCATATACTTACCAGCCTGTGCTAAAATGAATTCTAACACAGCCAAGAGTACCTTGGTATCATCTCCATTTAAGTTTTGGTCTTTACAAAGCTTTATAAGTTTATCTTAATCATAAGCCTATCCGAAAATCTTTCTGAGGATCTGAGATAAAATCTGCTTTAATTTAGATGCTCCAATTTTATTTAACTAGACTACTTCAGAGAGAACCCACTCTGGGCAATCCATATTTCCACAAAACTCAAATCTCATTTTTATCTTTAATTATAATTATTATTAATATCATCATTGAAATAATGCATGTATAATTTATATAACTAAGCTTAACTAAAATATTGCACATCAGAAAAATTATTTTAGAAAGATCAGTAGTGGAGATTCACTTCCTCATATAATCTTTAGATTCATAGAAAGCCATAATTATATTGTAGAACTCTTCAGGGGAAATTAATCTATCTCCAGTCAGATCAAATTCAGCTACTAGATCTTCTAAGTCATCCTCAATCATATCGTATTTTTCTTTAATGTCTTCTCTTGTTTAGAGATTGTCTTCATATCTCTTCAAATCGAAATCTGCTACTTTTAGCCTCTCCGCCTTTTCCAAGAAATTCCTTAAATTTGATGCAGATATCATACCACTTCTATCTTAGTCTAGCATCTCAAACAGCATCACAAAGTCATAAAGGGAAGGAGGCTAGTCTTCAAGCAAGAGATCCGAGGCCATGAAAAACCTTAGAAACTCAGTTTCATCCATCTATTCTGTAAAATTTGACTTCTTTGCTCTATCATTGATTCTTTTAAATAAAGTAGGGTTGTTATTGTGAACATTTTCCTAATGCAAATAAGCTTTAAATTATGTCACATCTACTTTGTTATTTTCTATATAATAAATTTTAGACATTTACTAAGCCATATTACAAGATTATAAAATTTCATATTCAAAATATCACTTACCATTCCTTAATAAGTTAAACAGTCGCTTAATTTAGTCTTTCATCTTGTTAATCTGCAGATTAGAGAAATCAAGATGTATTGAGGGATTAATACCAAAGCCTAAATCCTAGAATTAGTTCAAAATTTCCTCTTCTTATTTAAGTTCCTCATCTTCTGTCATTTTTTAAATTATATATTTAAATTTATGTTTATATATTTCTTAAATCAGAATTACCCCATAATCTTAGTTGCTTGGGGTTTTGGGGTTTTGGGGTTTTGGGG